CGCTCTGGATAGCTCCGCCGACAGCACGTCCTTAACCGCCCTGAGGTCGTTGCCTGGCAGGCCCCGGAATTGCCCACCTCCCTTGTTGCGAGGTTGCGTCGAGGAAGCGGCCTGGGCACAGTGCAGGACCACCGCCTGCCGCAAAATGCCCACGCGGTCGCTCGCCCATCCCTGCATCCCTCCCCCTCCCCCTCCCCCTTCGCCTCCCTCCTCCCTTCCCCTCTCCCCCTTCGCCTCCCCCTTTGCCTCCCCCTCCCCCTTCGCCTCCCTCCCCCCTCTCCCTCCCCCTCACCCATTCGCCTCCCTCCTCCCTTCCCCTCTCCTCTCGTGTCGATCACTCGGCGGTCCATGAAAAACTTCCAGGCGAGAAGACTCCCAAACACTTGGGCCGCAAGTGACGAAGCCGCTCGGAAATCATTTCAAAAACACTCCAAGATCTTCGCACAGGGCGGCTCAGCGATGTCACTCCAATCTCCTGTTAAATAACATTCCAAAACTGGTCAGCGGTGGACTTTCAACCAGATCTTTCAGAGGGCACTTCCTGACATCAGCGGTGTTTCGAGAATCAAGCCGCACTGGTGGCCTAAGAGGCTGCAGCCTATAGCCGCTGGCCCTCTCACATGGTGCCAACCGAACCCTCCTGAAGAGTCAATCCAAATAAGGGTGCTAAGCACCCCGAGCACATGCTCGTGGGACGGCCAGGACTCAGTCATGCCCCACGCTGACATGGCCCGAGAACTGCAGGCAAAAGCATGGAGAGGACCGCACAATCCTGGACCGACCCCCCACACGACCGGAGAGGCAAGCCCCCACCGCAATCCTAGATAGCAGAGGTTGCTGGAATCGGCCCCAACCTCGCCGTGACAACGAGCTTCAAGAAGTATGACCTCAAAGCCGGAAACAGCCTGCACCGGCCACCGATTCCGGCAATTCCCCCTCCCCAAGATCCGTTGCAGCAGGACCTCTGGGGTAGCACCTGCAGCGACAGGCGCTCTCGCCACCCAAACCCTGAAGCCCTTGCTTCGAATCAGAGCGCGGACGATGAGGAGGAGGAGGAGGAGGAGGAGGAGGAGGAGGAGGAGGAGGAGGAGGAGGAATCTGGGGCCACCCTTTCGAGCTGCCAGGATAGAGGAAGGAATAACGCCCTAAGCAGAGAAATTGTGGCGCTTCGCGCAGATTTCTCGGATCGCAGCGCCAGGTGGGGCGCAGGCGCCGATCCAAGAACTCCGCGCGGAGCGCCAGATCCTTATATGTTAATGCCGTTTTTTTTGTTCTTCCCTTTCGAACTGTCAACAACTGTTCCATGTGCTCCCGGGTCCATGCCATCTCGGCGGAGGAGGAGGAGGATTCAGGGGAGGAGGGGGCGGAGGGGGAGGAGGAGGAGGAGGAGGAGGAGGAGGAGGAGGAGGAGGAGGAGGAGGAGGAGGAGGACGTCTCGAGGTGATTGCCCAGCTCACGCGTGGCTGCTGGCAGTGCCTGGGTAGTCGATGGCCGGCTCGACGAGGCCACACTTCGCGAGCGTCGTGGTGTCGGTCTTGGTCGTCTCCGGGAGGGGGGGAAGGAGGAGAGGGAAGAGGAGGAGGAGGAGGAGGAGGAGGAGGAGGAGGAGGAGGAGGAGGAGGAGTGACAAACAGAAAGGGCTAATAAGCTAGAGAGCGAGATAAAGACATTGGTAGCATCCCGGCAGACCAAGAAACACGACAAGCGGAAGAGAGAGAGAGAGGGGGGAGAAAGAGAGAGAGAGAGAGAGAGGGAGAGTGATAGAGAGAGAGGGGGAGAGTGAGAGAGCGAGAGAAAGAGAGAGAGTTGCGGTTATGACATAGGGAGACAGAAACAGGGAGAGAGACAGGGAAAGAGAGAAAGAGAGAGAGAGAGAGGGAAAGAGAGAGAGAGAGAGGGAGAGAGAAAGCGGAAGCGGTAGAGAAAGAAGAAAGCGGGGAAGGTCCTCGCCTTTTCTGGCTTCCATCGCTCCAGGACGGGCCAAGAGGCTTCCGAGACGGCCCAAGAGGTTCTCCAGGCGGTCCCCAGGCGGCCCCACAAGCCTCAAAACGGCCCAGGAGGCCCCCACGACGGCCCAGGAGGCTTGCAAAAAAACGCCAGGACGGGGGGCTCGAACTTTCCTTGGGGCCCTTGGGAGCCTTCCTCCCGTAGATCGCCCCCGAACCCCCCAGCATGCCTCCAAGAGCCCCCCCAGAAGCGCCCGGGAGGTCCCAGGAGACCTCCGAACAGCCTCGGGATGCCATTCAAGACGTCTCGAAGAGGCTTCCAAGAGGCGCCCAGGGCCATCCCAACAGGCATCCAAGAGGCCTCTGGCACACAACCCAGGCGCGGTGGCGAGATGGGCCGAGAGCCGCGACTCCTACAGTCGGGGCGTTGACCTAAGGAACCCAAAATAAGGAACGGGGCCCCTTTCTCCCATACGTTGAACTTCGATTTCCCGTGGACAACCCCAGGACAACCGAAGGCAAACTGCAGAACAATCAAGGAACGCCGAGCCCCTCTCCAGCGAAAAGGGTTCCTTCTTCAGGGAACCCCGGCTGTATTCAGCTCCCCCCCCCATGCAGCGAACGCAACCGAAGGCGCCCCGACCACTTTGACAACCACTTCTGTACACCTTGCGAAATGCTCAAGAAATCATGGGTTAAGAAATTCATAGTCTCAGAACTTGAATAAATACCCAAAATTCATATCAAAACCTTAGGATTTACATTGAAACATTAAGAATAGTCGAGACTCTGGCCGAAAACTTGGGTTTTCTTAAGCATCGCCTAAGGTGTATCCCAGGGCGCGCCACAACAAAAAGGTGCCGCCCGTGCCGTGCCGTGTGCCCGCGCGCCGTGCCCTGCCCGACTTCGGGGCGGCGCCCAGCAACCTCCCGCCCGCGCGCCGTGCCGTGGCCGGGCTGCGGCATGCGAGAGCTGCGCCGCCAACTCGCCAGCGCTCGGACGGCCATTTCCTGCGCGTCTGTCGGCTTCGCGCGTTCATTCTTCGATAGAAATGGCAAAAAAACGTTGATGGGCCCATTGTCCCGTGCCGCGTTGCTGTGGGTGCCGTCTTCGGTGGAGTTCCTGCGGGGTGCCCTGCGGCAGCGGCAGGTGGAGTCTTCGGTGGAGCCCACAGTGGGACCGCGACGCGCTGTGCTGGACGGGGAGGGGGACGCATGCTGCCGCAGCCACTGGGGCCTTCGGTGGAGATCCCTATGGGGCCACGAAGCGCTGTGCTGGGTGGCGCAGGCGCGTGTGGCCGCAGCCACTGGGGCCCTCCGGTGGAGCTCCCTATGGGGCCACGAAGCGCGGGACTGGGTGGCGCAGACGCATGCGGCCGCGGCCACTGGGACCTGCGATGCAGCTCCCTATGGGGCTCCGAAGCGTTGTACTGGGTGGCGCGGACACATGCTGCCGCGGCCGCGGGGGCCTTCGGTGGGGCTCCCTCTGGAGCCAGAAGCGCTGTATTGGGTGGCGCCGACGCATGCTGCCGCGGCCTCTGGGGCCTTCGGCGGAGCTCCCAGATGGGGCTACGAAGCGCTGTATTGGGTGGCGCGGACGCATGCTGCCGCGGTGTCGTGGGCCTTCGGTGGGGCTCCCTATGTGGCCACGAAGCGCGGGACTGGGTGGCGCGGGCGCATGCGGCCGCGTCCAATGGGACCTCCGGTGGAGCTCCGTATGGGGCCACGAAGCGCTGTACTGGGTGGCGCGGGCGCATGCGGCCGCGGCCACTAGGGCGTGGAGCTTTCTATGGGGCCACGAAGCGCTGTGCTGTGTGGCGCGGACGCATGCTGCCGCGGCCACTGGGACCTTCGGTGGAGCTCCCTGTTGGGCCACGAAGCGCTACACTGGGTGGCGCGGGCGCATGCGGCCGGGGCCACTGGGACCTTCGGTGGAGCTCCCTATGGGGCCACGAAGCGCTGTGCTGGGTGGCGCGGGCGCATGCGGCCGCGGCCACTGAGGCCTTCGGTGGAGCTCCCTATGGGGCCACGACGCGCTGTACTGGGTGGTGCAGACGCGTGCGACCGCGGCCACTGGGATCTTCGGTGGAGCTCCCTATGGGGCCACGAAGCGCTGTACTTGGTGGCGCGGATGCATGCTTCCGCGGCCACTGGGGCCTTCGGTGGAGATCCATATGTGGCCACGAAGAGCTGTATTGGGTGGCGCGGCCGCATGCGGCCGCAGCCATTGGGACCTTCGGTGGAGCTCCCTATAGGGCCACGAAGCGCTGGACTGGGTGGCGCACACGCATGCGGCCGCGGCCACTGGGACCTTCGGCGGAGGTCCCCATGGGGCTCCGAAGCGCTGTGCTGGGTGGCGCGGGCGCATGCTGCCGCGGCCACTTGGGCCTTCGGTGGAGCTCCCTATGGGGCCACGAAGCGCTGTACTGGGCACTGGGTGGCGCGGACGCATGCGGCCGCGGCCACTGGGGCCTTGCTCCCGTGTGGGGCCACGACGCGCTGTAATGGGTGGCGCGGGCGCATGCGGCCGCGGCCACTGGGACCTTCGGTGGAGCTGTACTTGGTGTCGCGGACGCATGCTGCCGCGGCCACTGGACCGTCGGTGGAGCTTTATGGGGTCACGAAGCGCTGGACTGGGTGGCGCGGACGCATGCGGCCGCAGTCACTGGGACCTCTGGCGGAACTCCCCATGGTGCCACGAAGCGCTGTACTGGGTGGCGCGGACGCATGTGGCCGCGGCCACTGGGGCCTTCGGTGGGGCTCCCTATGGGGCCACAAAGCGCTGTAGTGGGTGGCGCGGACGCATGCTGTCGCGGTCATTGGGATTTCGATGGGGCTCCCTATGGGACCACGAAACGCTTTTCTGGGTGGCGCGGACGCATGCGGGCGGGCCGCGAAGAGGTGTAATGGGTGGCTCGGAACCGTGCGGCCGCGGCCACTTGGGTGGCGCGGGCGCATGCGGCCGCGGCCACTGGGACCTTCGGTGGAGATCCCCATGGGGCCACGAAACGCTGTACTGGGTGGCGCGGACGCATGCTGTCGCGGCCACTGGGACCTTCAGTGGAGCTCCAGATGGGGCCACGAAGCGCTGTACTGAGTGGCGACGACGAATGCGGCCGCGGCCACGGGGGCCTTCGGTGGAGTTCCGTCGTGTGGGGCCACGAAGCGCTGAGCTGGGTAGCGCCGACGCATGCGGCCGCGATGTGTGAGGGGTGTGCCGACATGGACATGC